GCTATCTGGGCCAAACCTTGACCCCTCTGAATGCACACATACTGTAGACACAAAGACGTACACATACACACACAAACGGATGGGTAAACAGCTGAATCATGTTTGATCTGCAGCCATAAAATCTTCCTTGTGCTGTATCAACAGACCCGCAAAGTCAAGGCTGTCACCAGCAGGAATAATACGTGACTCTAAAATATAGTCTAGTCAGCACTGAGCTGATGGAGAGAAGCTCAGACTTGATGCATTGCACACAGCTGCAATGCAATGGTCCTTGGGGAAAAGCCGGATATAGTTCATCATTAAACTGAGTGAAAGGTTTCTAGGCTGTCTTGGATGCTCGCTATTAAAGAAAAATTAAAGGGATATTTCATCCAAATAATAATTTCTGTCATCATATACTTGTTCCAAACTTGTATGAATTTTTTTATATATATCAATATGAATGTTGAAAACAGTTGTGCTGCTTCATATTTTGAAAATGATAGACTTCCATTGAAAAGTTTGGAGTAAGTAAATTTTAAAAAATGAAAGAAAGAAAGAAATTAATACTTTTATTCAACATGGATGCATTAATTTGATCAAACGTAACAGTAAAGACAATTATAATGTTACAAAAGATTTCTATTTCTATCTACAAATAAATTGAGCTTTCTGTTTATCAGAGAATCCCAAAAAATGTATCACGGTTTCCAAAAAGTTATGAAGCAGTTTTCAATTTCTCAAGTGGATGCTTGAAACATTCTTTTAAATTAATTCGGTAATACTTTACAATAAGGTTCCATTAGTTAATGTATTAACTAACATGAACAAACAATGAACAATACATTTCTTATAGTATTTATTAATCTTTGTTAATGTTAGTTAATGAAAATACAGTTGTTCATTGTTAGTTCATGTTAATTAACAGTACATTAACTAATGTTAACAAGCACAACTTTTGATTTTAATAATGCATTAGTAAATGTTATAATTAACGTTAACTAAGATGAATAAATGCTTTGGAAGTATTGTTCATGTTAACTAAAGTAGTTAACTAATGTTAACTAATGAACATTATTGTAAAGTGTTACCAATTAATTATTTTGTGTTCCACAGAAGAAAGAAAGTCCTACCGGTTTTGAACAATATGAAGGTGAGTAAATGATGACAATTTTCATTTTTGGATGAACTATCCCTTTAAGAGCCCTGCAAAAAATAAAAAATAAAAATAAAATTCAGCTATAGTAAAGCATCTCCAATACCACAATGAAAGGAGTAGTGCTGTTGGTGTCCTGGATTTTAATCAGACATGTGAACAGTTACATTGACCTCCATGCACTTTCTATGCTTTGAAATGGACTCTGCTGAACACCCGCTCGTATGCATGTCTAATGCTCCAGTTTGGTATTCACAGCCCATTGCTTATTTTCCCCCTATTACTTTGCATGTCAGAAGCAGTTTAGTACTGGTGCAGGTTTGCGAGGGGCTAAATTTACCCGGGCTGCTCGCTGAATGAGGAAGCAGAGGGATTTCACCTTGATAGGTATTTCGTTTCATGAGACAGGTTCAGCTGTAGCTTGACAGAGATGGATAATTATGGCATAATTATGGCACTACATAGGACTCATTTTCATACTGTATATGAAAGACATGCCAAGGCAACATACTACATAATGCATTAATATTTCAGATACTGTAGATCTAGCATCATCAAGAGACACCATGCAGCATTTGATGTTGTTTACTACTCTTTCCATGTGGACAGTGTAGAATAGAGTGAAAGATTGTATTCTTCAGGGATTTACATATCAACATGCTATTTTTTCCATCTGCAGTTCCATCAAGTTTTAATATTCTCAGGTTGCTTGTTATTTGTTAGAGTCACTGACGAGTGACTAGGCAGATTTATTTTCCCTTATGGCAAAATAGCACTTAAAAGACAGCTACGGACTGTGTGCAGCAAACAAATTATTCAATTTTCACGCCTCAGTTGTATTAAAACTATAATTAACACCAGTATTCTTTGTATTCACCAGATAATTAAAATATGCAAAAACACTGCAGCATTGTCTGTATGAGCCCATTACACTTGCTTCCATACACAGGAGCAAAAAACACAAATCAGTCAAATTAATTTAGCAGCAAATATTAGATTAAACTGCTTATTTCACATACTGTGACAGCACTCTACGAATGTGAGCCACTACCTCGGGGTTCCCACAAAACACCAAATAACTATTTACATTAACTTTTTATATAAATTATTTGTTTTAAGCAAACTATTAACATAAAGTAACACTGCTTAATGTGAACATCTTTGGAACAAAAAAAAAGAAAATTCTATTTCAGTTTTTCTACTTCAAAATTTCTTGTTTAATTCAATGTGTTACTTGCCATTTCTTTGTAATTATTTGTGAAATTTACTTGCAATTTCTGAGAAAACTGTTTACATTTTTTTTTTTTGCCATGTCAATATTTTCACCACAAAAATAAGAAATTTTATTCTTAGCAACATGATTTTATGTGTCATTATTTTTTAAATGTGTCAATTTATATTTATACATATTTATATAAGTTGTAAATATTTATATAAATAAATATTATATAGATATTGATGCTAACTGAATACTATTTTAGCAAAACCTCAACAGAGTTAGCCAGCTAGTTGTCATTGCCTAATATTTAATTCAGCAGATCTTGCAACAACAGTATTTAATACACTTCAGAAAACCAAATGCTTTATGTTAGAAGCCATAAAAACATATGTACATGGTCAACAATGATACACGGATACTGGTCAGATAGGGCACCAGCAATCAGGCCATCCTTCCGGATTACCTACTTCCTTTTCATAGGTGAAGTGTGTAAGTTATGCATCACTAATGTAACCAATAGAACCACAGAACTAATTAATAATAAATAATGCAAAAATAACTCATTGGTGAAGCCAATGTTATTATGTCCAGCCCAGTCGGGCCTTTCAAAGAAACACGTTGCTTGTAATTTGATGGAAGTAATGGCATAAATATTACACAAGAGTTTTTTAAAACACAGAGGTGTATATAGTATATGAGACATATGTTTCTACAATATCCTCTACTAGTGTTAGACTATATGGTTGTGAACTGTCAGTTTGGTGCGATTGATATTTTGCATTCACCTGCGTAGCCTTTATAAAGATCAGAAGAAATGAAGAAGAGGAAGAAAGGCGAAGAGGATTATTGGAACAGCACTTTAGAGATTAAGGCAAACCTTACGCTGGCCTTTAGATGTAATGACACTGCTGTCCTCACTCCAGATTGACTTCATTTGGCTAATCATTCCTGTGGTTAATGAGGCCGTGACATTTGATTGGAGGTTGACTTTTGTGCTGAAATACAATTCGACATGCATGGATGTATGTAAGTCTCCATTCAGGGGAGTCGTAAAATTGTTCTCGCTTGTATATTACTCACCATGAATCTAATTTTATGGGAGTCTTCATTGTTAATATCTTTCGCTGCTAATGTAATCTATGGCATGCTAATGTGCAAAACTTGTGAAGATTAATAACTTTGCAGTACAGCAGATTTGTAGTGTAGAATTAAGGGATTAAAACATATTTTTCTGCAAATCGGCAACTTGTCAGTTTTAGGGGTCATGCTATCTGTCTTTTATTATGTCTGGCGCTGAACCATGCTTTTGTGTAAACTTAATTGTACATTTTTGCCCACTTCGTAGACTATAACAGATCTCTGTGCATGGCATACACAGATAGTGTCAAGCCAGTTTGTAGAAAGTGTCAAGACACTTCCCCTTTTGCACAGATTTATGGAGCACAATAGTTGATCTACCCAGAGGACTTCACACTGAATGGATGACTAGCCTAATGCTGTGCAATACCAAACACAGAGGACAGATTGCAGCCTAATGGCAAACATGAGAGCTAATGCCAATCATCATCCTTCTAGGACAGAGAATAGAATAATCTCCCCAGGATTCACAAATACTACTAACAGATACTGAGGTTGCCATATGTAGGCTACTCTGTCATGCAGTACCAAAGCCTAGATTATGCAATGGAGCCAAAGATTATAAATGTAACAGCAGAAGAGCATTAAAACCATCTTGCCGCCCCTGTGCCCAGACAATGACTAAACAAGCAACATTTTGCATATGAAAACTGTTTTTCAGGCTTCTGGGGCTCCAGAACATCAAGAAAGTTTTAGAGATGATTACAATGCTTAGTTCTCAGTTGAAACGTGTTGAAAAAATGGACATTAATAAATAAACTTTTTTTCAAATGTAATTCTTATTTTTTGTAAACCTGAACTCCACACACTATATTGCAGAATATCAAAAACAGCAAAGGATGTACAAAGGAAACTATGCTGCCTTCAAAACTGGCCAAATTTAATCAACTGGCCATCTAAAATGTAAATAATAATTGCCTTTTAAATTGAAGAAACTTAAGAAACTTTAATTAAGAAACTTTAAGCCACAAAAAGCAAAAGTGACACATTTCCACTTTCACAAAACTTTCAAAATAGCCTATTAACCAATATGACAAACTTTCAACACTAGTACATTATTTTCTCCATATTTGCTTATTTTCCATAATTATACAGCAGCTGATGTTTTTCACAGCAAAATTTTAAGAGTTAGCCAATATTTTCACCCCAAAAAAAAAAACTAGCTAGATGCATGCTCTTGGCCCTTCGACAATTCAACCACCTTCTTTGCTGTAAATTGCCGAGCAGTTGTGTGCCAATTACAGCTTCGTGAGTATTTTCCACCCTCAGTTTTTCAAAGAACCCACACAGTGTTTTTGATGCACTGCATTGTGGTTTGAGACCCAAAGGCCTCTGCACTATGTTCATGAATGACCTTAAACCGCCTGACGGCCCCTAAAAATATATTTTCGTGTTTCGCCGCCTCTGAATTTTAAATATGTGATCAAACATACGCTGATTAAGTACCTTACACAGATTAGAAACAAAAACTATATGAAGAAACAGCCGCCATTCAGATTTATGCCCTACCTGGTGTGTCCCCAAAAGGTTTCGGTGGTTTGGCAGTCACTCTGGAGTTGCTTGGCTGTGTGGTGCTGTGCCTCTTAGGATGTGCAGTTGTAATCACCGCATACGTCCTTTGGGGGCTGCGTGTGGTAGTGCTAGTTACGGTAACTGTGGTGATGGAAGGGGCTAAAGAGGTGACGGTGGCATTCGGGGTCACCTTCGCCTCCTCCTCAAGCCCCTCGTCGACCCCTGTAGGGCCCCAGTCAATAAATCCTGCTACTGTGGTGGTCCTCCCCTCCAGGGAGTCATAGCCGTACCCTTTCAGCTGCCTCCGTGAGCGAGATAAATGCAGATTTAAATCAGATTTACTCCCCTCTGGTAATGCAATCGACTTCCCTTTGTCAGAGGGGGTCAATTGGCACTCCGCACAAAGTTGTCGTTTTTGGAGTGACCTGCGGTTTTTCCGCCCCCACAGTTTGGTGCCCCCCAGCTCCCCATGATTGCCTAGTGATGGCAAGGGAGGGGGAACACCACGATGCAAGACACCCAGAGTCCTCAAGTGCTGGCCGGTGAGCGTGTCCCGACTAGGCAGAGGGTGTGGCTGCCGGCGGGGCACTGATCTGGGCAGTAGTTTGAGTGTGAGCCCTTGGCCTGCTGGTGCACACAGAGACAGATCCATTGTGAGGTGGACAAGGATGAAGAGGATCCACATTCTACATCCCAGCATTCCTCCAGGTCGCCAAGCAACCATGGAACTGAAGAGCAGAGAAAGAGAGAGAGAGAGGGAAATCAGCTGCATTGGAGAATCTTAATCAGTGCATGTTTTATACATCACAGAGAGAGTATGCAGGCTCGGCAAAATTTACACAACTTCTTTACCTTAAAGACTGTCTTATTAGATCTTTGAAGGACTAACTACAGTAGATTGGGTTTTACTGCACTCTTTGTAATGTCCTTATTTCCAACACCATTTTCCAGTCTAGCGATTTTCGCTTTAGGCTTCGTTCTGCTCTGTGACTCACTAAGTTCTCATAAATTGAACTCCAATATTAATTAGATGTGTGATTCCCCTTTAACAGCTAGATGCTAAAAGCACACTTCAATGTTGTTTTCAAAGACATTTACTTTCAAAGACACTCGTCAATTACTTTTTGTAAACAAATGTTCCTCTAGCTGAATTGGTCTCATGGTGCTAGCAACGTAAAAATCATAGGTTTACACATACTAATAAAATGTATTGCTTGAATGCACCACATATTGCTTTGAATAAAAGTGTGCCAAATGTCTGATATTTATTGGAATCTCTGCAAATTCTGCCAGCGATCTAATGTTGGGTTACAGATAAAATACAAGCGCAACTATAAAGTGTATAAAAATTTTATGTATAAAAACTAATTTATATTATATTGTGAAACATTTCTAAAATTAAGTAAAAAGTCAAACTTAAAATAAAAAAATTATTAAAACTTAATATATAATTATATTTTTAATATATAATACTACCCACAAACTATATCCAGATATTTCCTTCAGATAGTTCCTTCATTTTACCTTACTTTTTGTCTATTGAAAGCAGAATTAAATAGTAATGTATGATTAGATTTGGTGGTTTAAATAATAATAATAATAATATCACATTTCATTATTATGACAGTCCTAAAAAAGCATTTTGTACAATTTCTCTCTTTTGTTTTCCTCATTTTTTCACAGACACCCTAGCACCACCTTGTGGTCCCTTGAGGGTCCCTGAAACCAATTTGAAGACCTCTAGTGAAATAAACTCCTCAAACCACAAAATGTCCAATTTCCTTCCACTGTGATTCTACAGTACCTCTCTGGTTTGTTTCAGCTGAACTTGTTTAACTTGTTTTAGCTCTTTGAGGGGTGCTGTTTTTTTTTCCAATTCCAGAACCTCAAACACATTGAAATGGGCTGTCATACCCATATCTAGAAGCCAAGAATCTCTATTGATCCAGACAGAAAGAGAGTTCATTGAGACATATCTGTAATCTTTTCTGTCCTTCAATAATATTGGTCATGGTCAAAGGCTAATTTAGAGGGATTAAAGAGCCCACACATGGCCACACATACTATTAATGGTCTTTGTGTTGCTTTGAGTTCAGAGATTATGGATTTTATAGAGTTATCTGACCCATTGGTGAACTGGCATGTCTGAACCAGCAAGTCCAACATAAAGTAAAATATGAGTCACACTTGAAAATCATATATTTGAAATATACTAAAACAGTTTATAAAACCACAAATCAAAAGGAATATAAATTCTCTTTTCATCTAAATAGCACTTTCATTCACCTATACTCAAGAGTCTGTTCAGGATGCCGCTTCATCTGTTCATGAATAAGATGGATTCCTCAAGCACACTAAAAGAGGGCCCTTTGCTCTCCATTTTCGCCTCTTCTAGTCTCTCTTTACATTTCTCTCTCACTTTCCATTCGGAAAAAAAAATACTTGTGGGATCTGGTCTGACTGAACTGGGTCAGGACCTTGGGTTGGCCACTCATCTGAGAGATTTTACCTCACTAATAAGGTCCTTCAATCCCATTGGGCTGGGCCCGGGGGGGCCTGACTCACACTCCCTGTGCTAATGTGTTCCATTAGAATGTAATTCCTGTCAGGAACATCATTGTATTTACTTAAGGAGACATATCGGAACCGATGTTGTGCTATTAATGATCACCCGTCCGCTGGCTTTTGATGGAATTAGGTGGCTACATTGTGAATTCAAGGAGGCTGCTGTGATATTAATGAGGGCTAAATTAAGGGTCGCACAAGACAGGGTGTGAAAGAGAGTGAAAAACATTGAGGACAGCTTTGCATGAACAACCCCTCCCTGCTCTTTACTTATAACGCATCAGCTACAATTCGGGTCACTTCAGCATGGTGCAACCCATTTAGATTCTGCATTGTAATTCAACACATCGCCCACAAAGCAAAGGTCTTGTTTCTATTCACAGAGAATTCACAGACTACAAACAGACGCACAGTTCAAAATGAGCTTTTTGCCACACAAGCCAATTAAGATGACATAGGCAAACCTCTTCCAATTACTTGCCATTGATATGAATGTTCTCTAAATTTGTTGTTGTTTTTACCGACATTTCATAACAACTTGTGACTGATTTATTTGCATTATGCATATAAACATGTCATATCTTACAATTCAACCCAAGTAAGGTTAAAGTTCTTAATAAACTTATCGGCCAACTGGCGAATTACAGTATTGTGTTTTATTTAATCACCAAACTTGTATTCTGCTGAGTTTTGCAGGACATTGAATTGATAACATATGAAAATGAATAAATAAATTGAAAACAAATAAAATTAATTAATTAATTAATTAATACAATAAATTAAAACTACAAGGGACAAAGACAAGAATAAAGTAGATGAACAAAGAAGATTTTCCTTTTGAATATTCATTAGGCTAACGTTCACTATGTTTGCAAGCTTGCATAAGATTTGTGCTTAGTTGCTTAGATTTAACAGCAGAACAAATATAGACTCAGTGGGAATATATAATTTCTTTTCTCATCCATATTCATGATAATGGGGAAAATATATGTTTTATTTAAATGAAAGCGCTAAAAGAACACATTTCCTGACAAAAGGAAGTTGAAAGAAGAAGCTCGGGAGTTCCTAAAACGTTAAATGGAAAATATGCTATCTGAAAAAGCCAGAAAGAAAATGATAAGACCATCTCCTTTTTCCATCTCGCTCATATCCACTCTGATAAAAGTAAAGGGAATAACATTATAAACACTGAATGAACTGATCATGAGTTTCACCAAAGTCCTTTTAGGCAATCTTCATAACACCCCCAGGCAGCTACTTCTAGTCAAATGCTACTTCCAGCTCTGTGGAAAGAGATTTAGAAATCCAGAACTGTTTGCCAAGCTTACATTTCAAAAACATATAACAAATCACCAATAAAATCTGCCTGAATGGTTTGAGAAACATGATTGCTTTTTTTTTTTTTTGATTTTTTAATTTGAGTGAATGGCCAGGCTCCTCCTCGTATTGTCTGTGGTTTCACAGATTCACACAGAAACACTTTTCCCCAGAGCTCTGAAGCTAAAGGTTACAGACACTTCTTATTTGATGACGCAACAAATTATGGGAAATAACACAATAAAAGGGGTTTATTAACCATTACACAGAGAGAGCGTACTCTTTTGACCACTTGAACTTTCCCTCTCCTTTTTTTCTTTCTCTCTTCTTCTCTATATTAACATTTGAATTCAATGTGTAGCTCAGTCTGTTCTGATGAGTGTTGCAGGGTGGGACAGGTCTTATATGAATTCCCTTTATAGACAGTCATTTACTGACCCTCTCAGGACTAGATGTCATGACTAACACACCACACTGTGCAACAAATAATACTGTCAAAGCTATATAGACAATCAGGCATAACATTATGACCACTGACAGGTGAAGTGAATAACACTGATTATATCTTCATCACGGTGCCTGTTAGTGGGTGGGATATACAGTATTAGGCAGCAGGTGAACATTTTGTCCTCAAAGTTGATGTGTTAGAAGCAGGAAAAATGGACAAGTGTAAGGATTTGAGCGAGTTAGACAAGGGCCAAATTGTGATTGCTAGACGACTTGACTGGGTCAAAGCATCTTCAAAACTGCAGCTCTTGTAAGGTGTTCCTGGTCTGCAGTATGTGTAGCTATCAAAAGTGGTGCAAGGAAGGAACAGTGGTGAACCGCCGACAGGGTCATGGGCGGCCAAGGCTCATTGATGCACGTGGGGAGCGAAGGCTGGCCCGTGTGGTCTAATCCAACAGACGAGCTACTGTAGCTCAAATTGCTCATGAAGTTAATGCTGGTTCTGATGGAAAGGTGTCAGAATACACAGTGCATC